TTTTTTTTTTCATTTTCATAAGTTGGCATTTCTTTTGATTATTTTTTTCCGCGTAATAAAATATCTAAAAATAATTTTTATTAAAAAAAAAAAAAAAAAAAAAATCGATCGACAGGAAAATAACAGTAAAATTTAAAATTTAAAAAAAAAGATGGCGTCGAAATCGAAATTTGTCTTTTTGTTTTGTTTTTCACCGACTTTTCCAACTTTTAAAAATATATATTTAAAATTTTTATTTTTTTAAATTAATTCAAGGTAAAAAAATGTAAAAAGTTAAAAAAAAAAAAAAATATTTAAAGAATTTTAAAAACGTTAAAACAAAACGTTTCGAGTCAATTTGCTAATAGTAAAAAAAAAAAAAAAAAAGAAGCTGGACAAGCCGGATGCGCAAACATAACAAAAGGTGAACCACCTTATAATACTGTACTAAGTTCATCAAAAAAAAAAAAATTTTTTTCTTTTTTTTTTTTTGCAACTAAATTTATTCTTAACGTTACACACTCCTACGTTCTTTTTATATTTTATTTTCTTCTTTCTTTCTTTTAAAAAACCCCACGATAATAATAATAATAATAATAATAATAATAATAATAATAATATTTTTTCCTATAAGTGCCATATATATATATATATATATATTGTGGCCCAACGAATTCGCCATCTTTACTTTTTCATCTTTTATTTTTTTTATATTTAATTTCTCCATGTATTCGTCCATTTAAAATAAATAAAAATAATAATAATAATAATGAATTACACGAGAAAATCGTTTGTATAATAATAATAATAATAATAATAATAATAATAATAATAATAATAATAATAATAATAATAATAATTTTTTTTCGAATTTTTTCTCTTTGTTTTGTTTTGTTTTTCCTAAACTTTTAAAAATAAAATTTTAAAAAAAATTTTTTATTCTAGAAAGATCCATATTGTTATTATACATAGAATAAGAAGAAGAATTTCGCACGATTAAAATCACAAAAAGAAAAATATTTTTATTATAATAAATGTTGTAAGAATGCCCTACAACATTCTGGTAATTACAAGTCTTTGACCGTTAAAAATATCGCGTCGGCTTTTTCCTTACTTCTCGTGATACCTGGGGAAACAAAGCCTTATGCCCAAAAGTATACCTATACCTATACCTATATATATATATATAAATTCATAGTAACAAATTTAATTTCATGGTCACGGACTTGTAAACGAGACAAGGACAGATAAAGTCATGAACTTGTGTATGATAAAATAAAATAAAATAAAATAAAATAAAATAAAATTTTTTTTTTTTTTGGTGAGAATATCATTTAAACCGTTTGTTTTGAATTCGCGAATAAATATAAATTTAAATTTTTAAAAAAAACCGCGAAAATTTTTTTCCTTTTTAAAATGTGCCGTTACTTATTTAAAAAAAAAAAAATTTAAGAAAGAAAAAAAATGTGACGTTTGAAAGAATTTGAATACCTGAAAAACAATACACACAAACTCCTCCTTTTGTTAACTTTTTAACCCGAATATTATTATTATTATTATTATTATTATTATTATTATTATTATTATCCACCATTAAACACGACAAGGCTACTTGTCGAGGTTTTTAAGTATTTATCCCAGGTTTCTACCCGATTCCTTAGGGACAAATACTCGAATTTCGGTGGTGCCACTTATTATAAGATAGCACCACATCAATTCTTGAAGGTCTTCCTGAGTCCGTCTTTTTCGATGGGAACGATTTGTCTCCTGAACTGGGCTCCGGTGACTAACATCTTTGGAGTGGCCAGGGTCAGAAGCAGTGAAATTCACGTTCTCGTCGAGCTGCCTCAGGTCGACAGTAGAACAAGATTTGTTTTTTGGTTCTTACTTTGTCTTGTTCTCATTTTTTTTTTTGCTCTTTTAAGCCAACAGCACGTGGCGTTCTCAAACGGTCACCCATCCAAGTTTGCACCACGCCCGATGCTGCTTAACTTCGGTGATCGTACGGGAACCGGTGTGACCAGCACGCTATGGCCGTTGGCTTATTATTATTATTATTATTATTATTATTATTATTATTATTATTTTTATTGAAATTTATATAAAGGTTTTCTTTTTGACCGTTTTTTAATTTATTACCCGACTGGTATTACAAAAAGTACCGGAAATAGCAATCGAACGGTAAATAATATATTACTTACCTTGATTCGATTAAAAATTTAACATCTTCTCTTATTAAAAAAATGTCTTCTGCTTTTCCATACCAAATTTTCTTTTTATTTTTTTTTTGTTATCAATGAATTTATGATTTAAATTCCAAGATGATCTAATTTTATCTGAAAAAAAATAAATAAATTCAATTAAAGTTTTTCTGTCTAATTCCACGTGTTTATTACCCAATATGGAGGATTCTCGAGGAAATCTTAAGTAAAAGTCGGTCGATATATTTTTTTACATCGGAATAATATAAATAAATCTTAATATTGTTCAGAAAAAAGAAAGTTTCGACGTGGAAATAACATTTCATGATGTTTCTCGTAACTTTTACTAAAAAAATCTTTGATAATAAGTCATCATTATTATTTTCTCCGCCATTTTTTTAATTTCGCAGTATCGGCCATTACCTTAACATCTTATAACCTTTTCATTCTGATAACAAACAACAAACTTGTATGCGTAATTTTCCTATTGAAAAAAAAAATACACGTCATTTTATGAGTGAGTCAGTTAAGTGGCAGAGGGCATAAGAGAAGAAGGGGTGCCCTACTTTTTCTTACACATAATAAGAAAGTAAAGATGGCGATGATTGTTTTATCAGGTTAAATTTTTCCATGTGGATGGTTGTCTCTTATTTTTTTCAACTTTCCAATAAAATTAAGGAAATAATCTTGATGGTAGTTTTTTACTTTTTTTTTTTACATTCATTTACGTAATAGAAACGAGTAGAAAAATATGATGAAGAAAATTTTTTTTTTTTTTTTTTTTAATGTCTCCTGATAACGGGAGTGTTTGTTGTTACTTTTTCTCATAATAATTCTCATTCCAGTTATTAGAAAAAATTATTATCAGTCGTTAATAATAATATTAATGCGAGTCCTATTCTTAACTCGTATCAAAAAGTTATTCAGCCACCCATGAAACTTTGCCATGTGAAGATAAAAAAAAATTTTTTTTTTTTTTTTTTAAATGTAACAACATTCGCACACGACAACGCACTTTTTTTTTTTTTTTTTTTTTTTTATAAACATTCGTGGAAGCAGAATTCACAAAGCGTTGAATTAATAAAAAAAAAAAAATATCGGAGCATATCCAATTTTACACTTTTTTGAATAAAAACTCAAACACAAAGGTATATAAAAATTACAACTTAAATATTTTTATCATTCGGCAGCTAAAAATAAATTGGAAATCCCCTAAATAATAATAATAATTGGGGGGGGGGGGAAAGGGGCACGACCAGTAAAAAAAAATCCTGACACGTCAAAAAAGAAAAACCTTTTGAAATGATTTTTTACAATAATAAACTTGCATTTTTTTTTTTTTTTAAACAAAATATTTATCAAATATTTGGCAAAATTTCCTGCAAAAAAAAAAAAAAAAATTTTTTTATTTTTAAAAAAATATTTGTTTTTATCGAAAAAAAAAAAAAAAAATCAAAGATTCGCCATTAATTTTGTCAAAGCTTATACAAGGTTAATCGTAAGGGAAATTCAATGTCGGTGTTTTTTTATTATTATTATTTTCATCGTCGTCATTCATTTAATAATTAAATAAATTTTCGATTCGATCATTTCACAAATATAGACATACCGTAATAATAATAATAATGTT